TAAAGATTTTATTTATTTATTTGAGAGAGAGAATGAGAGAGAACACATGAGAGGGGGGAGGGTCAGAGGGAGAAGCAGACTCCCCGCCGAGCAGGGAGCCTGATGCGGGACTCGATCCCAGGACTCCAGGATCATGACCTGAGCCGAAGGCAGTCGCTTAACCAACTGAGCCACCCAGGCGCCCGATGTGTCCTTTCCTTCTTTAAAAAAAATTGTGGTATTGGCAATGACGTGAATAACTAGAAACTTCCAGTCTATTTTTAGATGGTTGTCATTTGGGCTGACCCAAAACCATTGAAGTATTGAAGTGTCAGGATGCTTTGAAAAAGATAATATTAGTAACAAGTAGAACAGAGAGGCGACCTTGTAAGAGAATATTTTGTACCCCAGGTTTTGAACTTTGTTTGCTTTGACTTTGAAAGCTGGGGATGAGGGACAGAAGGAGTTCTCCTCCCTGGGAAGAGATTTGATTGTTTTAACTGTCTAACCCATAACATGCTATTCATAATGATAACGGGTAGCTTCTCCTAGGTATCTCTCCAGATTTCAGAAGGGATCATTTGGGGGTATTGACAGACACTGACCTATGAACTGTGGCAGTATATTTAGTCTTCTCTGGAATCGCGGCAGTCTTTTTACAGAACAGTACAGCCTAGTATTAGACACCTGTTTGTTGGGTAAATGTGTCTGTTTTCTTGGGACTTAATAAACTATGAACAGGATAACGGGTCTTCATTTGAACTATTTGTCTAGAGCACGTTTTCTTCCGATACTTAATTGCAACTTGATTTTTGCTAGACTGAAACATCTCCTGAGGCAATACTGTTCCTTGTCCTAGGTCTCAGGCAAGATTACGCTTCCACCTCAGCATCTGTGTCCAGACATAGCTCCAGTGTGTCACTGAATTCAGGAAAAAAAGGGACGTGTAGTGATCAAGAATATGATCGCTTCAGTCTGGAGGACGAGGAAGAATTTGATCATTTGCCACCACCTCAGCCTCGTCTTCCAAGATGTTCGCCTTTCCAAAGAGGCATTCCCCACTCACAGACTTTCTCCAGCATTCGGGAGTGTAGGAGGAGCCCCAGTTCCCAGTATTTTCCTTCAAGTAATTACCAGCAGCAACAGTATTACTCACCTCAAGCCCAAACTCCAGATCAGCAACCAAATCGGACCAGTGGAGGTAGGTTACGTGTGCCCTTCGGTGTTTAATGTGCTTTGATCTTTCATGTGTGATTAAGAAATGGTTTTAAGGTCAGTGAAAATAATTAGTAAATGTTTCCCAGATTTATGAAGTATGTCTTCAAGACCTGATCAGTTTGGTCTAAGTTTAAATCTAAAATTGCCCAGCGTCTGATGATATGTCCCAGTTTTACAGACCTATGGCTTCAGAAAACACCACCATGAAGTAGCCAACACCGAACGGGCCATGCGTGGGGGGTGTCTGTGTGTGGTGGCTCGGTCAGGGCAGGACGGGCTGGTGGTGCTGTGGCGTTCACCGGGGAGCCCCGTGAGCTGTGGCTCCTTACCTGTGCCTCACCCCAGTCTCTCCCGGCCGTTCCTGGCACGGAGTGATGCAGGGGGAACATGCCCATCCAGATTCAGGGCACGTTTGGATGTCTTTCCTTGTGACATCTAGAAGAAAGGTCTGTGTAGCAGGAGGGATAAGGAGGCTGATACTTGGCTTGATAACGGGAAGTTGATCTGCCCCAACGCCAACATGGAGGGTCAGAGAACGTGTCATCTCTTGTATTTTTGCCGTCTGTCTTTCTTCCCCACTCCAGGACTTACAGTCCTTGACCTCCAACACACTGTAGGGAGAACAGTCATGTACTCTCCTAAGCCTGGTATGCTTTTATACTAATGACCAGCCAGACTTTTCACACACAAATCCCATATAATATGGAGGAAAAAACCAGATTTATAATTACAGCGTCTAATTATCATATAGCACCATTTCTGGGCCCAGGAGTGATGAAGCAGCTCACATAAAAGTACTGCAAGGCCAAATACAGATTGTATTTGTGATCACCTGTCACCATGTTTTTAGTTTTCATCTTTTCTTCTTCTGTACTTGTATCTTTCATGCTGACTGAGAGATCATTTGAAAATATTGAACATTTTAGTCATAATTTCCCTTTTAGGACCTTGAGATTTCAGATTTGAAAGAAAAAAGTGGCAGCCAAGGAATGTCATAGTAACTCCACTTATTAAAGCTCATCATATCAGAAAAGCAGTGTATTCCATGTGCTTAATGAAAGTCGGCCTCGTTTTAAACTTGCGGAAAAGGGCCCGTAGAAGTGTTGCAGTAAAGGTTGTCAGGTGTCTCAGGACGCCCCAGCCTCGCTACCCAGCAGGTGCCAGCTCGGCATCTTGAGCAGTGTTGTCAGCAGGTCGTTGTTTTACCTTAGAAAAGTGGTTTCACCTTACACGAAACACCACGATGAAAAGGATTAGGTTTCCTGGGAGCTGTGCTATGATGGTTCCCATTAGGAAAGCGGAGACCTATCACAGCTTCGTGTCCCGACTGTAGTGGTTTTGTTTTCCTAAAAGCTCTGGTCTCCACATACAAAGGACAACGGCCTACAACGGCAGTCGTCTGCATTGGACTGATCTACTTAACTTGGCGGTGAGGGCACAGTCTGGAGTCCAGTCCCGTCCTCCCACTTAACGCCTTTTACAGGTTTCTCGGGTCTGTAAACTTGGATTTCTTTGACTATAAAATGTGGCCAAATAATACCTTTTTCTTGGAAAACTTAGGTATAAGTTCACATCAAACCATCTGGTGACGTATTCTCCCAACCTAAGGAAGAAATGAAACAATGACCATTATTTTGCCTGGAGTAAAAGTACTGAAGAAAGGGAATAAAGGTTGTCACTCTCCCTTCCCACATGCCTTTTTTTAAGAAATAGGACTCACTGGGGCACCTGCTGGCTCAGTCGATTAAGCGTCCCGCTTTTGATTTCGCCTCAGGTCATGATCTCGGGGTCGTGAGACGGAGCCCCGCGTTGCACTCTGTGCTGGATGTGGAGCCAGCTTGGAATTCTCTCTCTCCCTCTGCCCCTGTCCCCCCACCCCCAGTATATAGATATGACTCAGATAGCTGAGCCTCCATTTGTTACCACAGAATATCATTTGAACAAAATTGTGAAATAAGAATGGTAACTTTGAAACTATCAAATATCTTTCTAAATTACCAAAATAATACAGATAGGAGAGAAGAATTGTTAAATCATTGATTCATTTAAAAATAATTAAAAAGAAACTAGAAATGCATATTTATATTTATTGCTGCCATAGCTCCTACACTGCCTAGATTCAGAAGAGAGGGCTCTTCAAAGTTGTGGGACGATTTATAGGGGATATAGAATCAAAAGGAGCATATTTGGAATAATTTGCCAGATGTGAAAAATGACTAAATCTTGTAGGATCTTTACTGAATGTCAAGGGAGTTGATTGGGCAGGGATTGTCGGTGGCATGATGTAAGCACTGTTAGCCCAAGACCCTCCCTTGTACCCTGTATTGATTGTGGAAGGCCAGATCGGATTGGTGGGTAACCGAGTATCTCCTTTATTGCCAAAGATTCTTTAGTCTGTGTTTCCTAGAGTGGTTAAGTCTTGCTGCTACTTTAATATGAGAAAACTCATTTGAATTCTTTCCTTGGTCTATTCCTCCAGTTTCCCTGCTGCGTCTCAGTACTTGAGGATAAATTACTGGTTTTTTGGGAAGATAGAAATAGAGTGTTATTTTTGATTCCTTGAATATTAAAGTATATATGGTCATTAATATGTTCCAAATTGTTTGACAGGAAAGTGTACCTCATTTCCAGATGATCCCTAACACAGCTTGGAGATCACAGCTTAGCTCCCGGAGGAGTCGTTCTAAATGTTTACACTTGGAAGCCTTTATTTTTAAGAGCATATTTCAGATTTAAAACTTTGTGGAACTGACTTGATGCTCACAGGAATAAAGATTGGTTTTGAAAGGCAGATGCATCTAGATGAACAGACTAAAAACCTATCCACCACAACTAAGGTGTGAACCTTGATTGATTGTGGTTTAGGGGGAAAAGCTTATGAAAGACATTCTTGATGTGTGGAAAATTTTGTGTATGGATTATTAAAAACTGTTGTTAATTTGTTTACATGTCATGACAGTATTGATTCGATAGAATTTTCAGATTTAAAATTTAAAGGGAAACAGTGGCAGCTAAGGAATGTCATACTGACTAATTTATTAAAGCTCAAACTATCAGGAAGAAAATGTATTCCGTGGGCTTAATGGAAGTCATGGCATCATATTAAAATTGAGGGAGAGGGCAGTTAGGGTTCACGTGTCAAGATGTCTGCAGCTTTTATGTGGCTTAACAACAGCAAACAAGTGTATATGTATGGAGGTGAATTAATTATGGCAGAATGAAAACAACTAGTATATCTAGGTGGAAAACATACAGATGTTTATGATACTACTTTTCAACTAGATACATGAAAACTTTTATGGTAAATAGTTTGGAAACTTAGAGGTACAGAAACACAATTCATATTCTCAATAGCATGTAATTCTTTCCCTGTGCCACCCTTCAGCCTAAATATATATAGTCAAAGTAATTTAGTCTTGCACTGATAGCGGCTCACTTTTTATGCCAGTTATTGTGATTCAGAAGATCTAGATGTCGACTCTAAGATTTATTCTCTCTCATTTCTCCTACCCCACACCCTCTGCCAGCATACACCTAAATAACATTTGCGGAATGTATTAAATGCCTCCTGCCTGCAGTTAGGAACTTTTTTTTTTTTTTAAGCTTTATTTATTTGACGGGGCGGGGGAGGTGGAGAGAAACAGAGAGAGAGAGAACGCACACGCAGGGGGAGAAGCAGAGGGAGAAGCAGACTCCCCGCTGAGCAGGGAGCCCAATGTGGGGCTCGATCCCAGGACCCCAGGATCATGACCTGAGCCAAAGGCAGATGCTTAACCGGCTAATCCACCCAGGCGCCCCTGGAGTTAGGAATTTTAACAAAAATTTGGGAATATAAGACCTGTGGTTGTTAAAAACAGGCCTCAAGGAGATAATGAGGAAAGTGGTCAAGAAATCTAACAGTCCCTGGCAGTATCTGAGCATAATTTCTCTAGAAGTATGCACAGGGAGTGAGGACCTGGTGTGGGGGTGGTAGGTATCTTATCTTGGAGCTATATAGAAGAAGTTAGCTAGGTCGATTAGGATTCTTTTTGGTCTCCTGTCCTAGTGCTCTTTATAATTTCTTGTTACGCTTTCTTAGGCTTCTTATGTAAGTATACTTACTATACTTGTTTAATTTTCTTTCCCCTAGACTACCCCAAGGAGACAAAACTTGCTGGACAGGGCTACAGCCCTGTTCCTGTACAGCCGGGTATAAGTAATGTAGAATGAGCAGTGCAAAGAGGGGGGAAAAGAAGAGATGAGTCTGGTTTTGCCCTTGGACACATTTTGGATTAGTGTTCAAGTACATCATTTGTACTTGAAAGTGACCACAAACTTGTGTTTCCTGATATGTGTCTCTTAGTGCTTCAGGGCATATACCAATAAAATTGAAACTATCTTGGTGAGTGAGGCGTGAGTGAAAAGCATGAGATATTACAATGGTTTATGGTCCTCCGAAGTTCAAAATGTTTCAGAGTTTCAGAATGCTGTTTTCAATATTTAATTTGTTCCATCTGGGAGAAACAAGATTTAACGTTAAATTTATTTTAGGTTTCCTTCTTAGGCTCGATAATGGAAAAAAGATTGCGAAACCATGGCCTAGACAATAAAACTCAGAGTCAGGGAGTGTATCCATAGTACACTGTGGTATCCCCCCCATTTCCAAGGGTGCCTGGCATGGAGCCATGTGCACAGTGAATTCTCGTGTCCCCGTTCATTCGTTCACTCCACAAAGTGGGGAAGCGTGGCCAAGGCGGGGGGCGGGGGGGGACCAGCATGTCACAGGTGCAGGAGAATGTGGAGCATTTGGGAACTTGGCTCATCCGCTGTGGTAGGCGAGTAGACTGAGGGGTGGCAGTAGCAGGAGGTAAGGCTGGGGAAGAAGGACAGGAGCTGATACCTTGGTCAGCCATGCCCAGGGGCTTTCAGATGAAGGTGGGAGAGTAATTGGAAGGTTTTAAGCGGGTGACTGGGAGTGCGCTTGTGCTTGAGGAAGAGTGGAGCAGGCTGTGTCAGAAGATGGGTCAGAAGAGCAAGACAGGGTGCATGGAGACCAAGTAAGAGGATATCGTGAAAATGTGGGTGATAACGTGGTCCGAACCAGATGAAGTGGAAGAGTCATTAACTCTTAGGCAGAACTGACAGGACTTGGGGCTGAGGGTATAGAAGGGAGGTGAATCTGAGGAGATGGCCCCGGTTTCTGGATTAGAGGACTTGCTTGCTGGTCAAGGTGTAACCTGCAGGTCTGAGTAAGTGTAGAAGGAGCTGTGTGTAAAGGGGAGGAGGGCATGAATCCAGTTTTGTACTTGAGCACGGAGTTTTTGCTTAGCATGCAAATTGATCCTTTGTTTTGTGAGCTTGAGTGAGTGACCTGTTACACGTACTTTAGTTTGGAGCGCCCCACCCCCCACATTGAATTTACAGCGCTGCACTGAGGTCTGTGGACGGCTCTCTGCTGCCCCTTTGTGGCAGAACATGGACTCAGCAAGGAGAGTGACACAGAAGCCGTCTCTTTTTCAGGTATCAGAAGTTTAGGGGCATGCTCCTAGTTAAAACTTTCCAGAACTTAATGGGGTCATAGTGATGTGATGAGTGGGTATCTCAGAACACATCAAGGTAGAATTTTAATCATTCTTTCCATTTTGGTATGCTAGCAAAAGATAAAGTAAGTGTTGGATTTGACTCTTCTAGGTTTTTTTGTTAATTAATACATAACAATTTTTAACTAAGTGGCTGTCAGATGATTCTCTAACCTCACTTTGATACAATTTTATCCACTTACTGTATAGAAACAAATAGCTAATTGATTAGCTAATCCCTACTTCTTTTTATAGAACACTTAAAAAAAAAAAAGTTTATTTGGTAGAACCTTTCTGGAGATAGTGTATTCTCCATACAGAAGGTTAATTCTGTGGTAGCTTGTTACCGTTCATAACACACGTGATGATTTTTATCTGTTATTGAGCTTACTATCATTTATGTTTACTTTTGAAAGCTGGTAATTTAGTTGGCATAAGCCTTATGATTTTTAACTAGAATTCTTTTCTCTTCTAGACAAGCTCCGGAGAAGTATGCCTAATCTAGCTCGGATGCCAAGTACGACTGCTGTCCCTAGCAATGCTGGCTCACCAGTCACCGTGAGAAATAGTCAGAGTTTTGACTCGAGCTTGCATGGAGCCGGAAATGGGATTTCAAGAATACAGTCTTGCAGTAAGTATGACAATTTGTAATTTTTTTTTAAGTAAGTTTTAGTTGTAACACAATTAGAAAAATCTTATTCCATTTTTTTTTCTTTTGAGGACATAGCAGGAAACTTTTCTCATGACTTTTTTTTTTTTAACTTCATCAGTACAGTTTAGTATTTTCATCAGTGCATATGTTAATGAATTAATAATTAGTAAATTATATTTAATCTTCTCCATCCAAGGATAGCAGAAGTACTACATGATGATTAATGTGTTCACTCATCATATAAACAAAGCTTACCTGTGTTTTCCTCGCAGATCTGCCCCTTTCTAGCTATATCTGCTCGATGCCTTTACTCTGAAGAATGCATATTCAGTCTCGCTGTCACTTGGTCTTGTTGTTTACCAGTCCAGAGGTTTGTTCCTCCCAAAAGGAAGTTCTGTTTTAGTGTGTAGAGTAGTATTTACCTGCCCCCTTTTCAGCTTACCACACAGTCTGTCGTTCATTCTCCGTACGTTTTACCCAGCAGTGAGCAATGCGGTGAGCGTGAAATCTCGTGTTCATGTGTTTTTATTTTGTGTGGGGATGTGATGGTTCCAGTTGTCCCCGTCCCATTCCGACTCATGCTGTTTATGTGGGTAGTCCCCTGGGAGGCGGACTGAGGGTCAGAGTCCCAGTAATGATGTGGCCCAAACGTAGGAGCCCCGATGTGTGTTCAGAGTGGGCTGGCCAGCAGTCATCAAGCAGATGTCTAAATCTGCACCCAGAGTGGTTTGAAGCCCTTTTCCCTCGGATTCCAGTTTGGGGGCTCAAGTGGCATTTTCCCCACACGTGACGGTTTTTCATTTCAAAATGGCAACATTTACTGAGCACGAGGAACTGTGCTAACTGGTTTATATCTAATTTCTGGCTCAGTTCTGCCAACAATCCTATGAGGTGGTTTCTGTCCTTGTTCCCATTTTGCAGATGAGTAAACAGATAAAGTAACAGTTTGCACAGGGCCATGCAGGTAAAGGAATAGAGCTAGAAAACTGTTCTGATGACCTCAGAGTTTGTCTTTTAACTACAAACATTTTCTGACTCTTGTGTGCCATTCTTTCCCTTTCTGTATGCAGTTTGTTGCTCTTTACCTTTATCCTATAGCCCAAACACCACACACCCTTTGAAAAGGCTCCACTGATGACCCTAATAGACTTCCCCATAAACCCCTGAAGCAGATCTGGGATGGATTCAATTTTTGGTGCTTACCCTTTTTTTCCCCCCAGTGTGTCATATTTCACAGTCTTTATATCTGTCTTCCACACTAGCTCATCAGATCCCTCTGGGCTTGGGCCCCAGCTTAGCTGATTTTCTGCGCCCCACACCTGGCACCCTGCCTGGTATTTAATGGGTTTGAATGCATGAGTAAATGAATGCCACAGGGCCACATCTTAGGCCTCGATCTGTTAATATTGGAATTAACAACTTGTGTAAAGACACAGCAGACAACTTACGGAATTTGCTAATGGTGGGAAAGGGAGAGCTGCTATTTCACGTGAGGCAGCTGGGGAAACCGGCCAGATAGATCATGATGACATTTGTCATAAGTACACAGTTCTCTGGTTGAGTGCAAGAGTCAATAGTATTCGTGTAGAATGGGAAAGTATAGTTTTGACAGTAGCACATGTGGTCATGATGAGGGCTTTTTGTTAACTCTGACTCCATTTGGGTTAATAGCATGATTTGAGTGCCAGAACAATGTATGGAACCCAAAATAGAATGTCCACAACAGAGAGTGGCCGGTTTTGATGGAAGTGCTCAAAGACTGATGGGGATATGTCAGAAGTGCCCAGTGACCAAATCTGTGACCACTGAAGCCAGGGAAAAAAATTAATTCAAAAGGATTCTAACCAGTAGAGCAAAATAAATAATTACAGTTCCACATTTAATAGACAAAATACATAAACGGAGAAGGGGAACTTTTTCTTTATAGGAGAATGCCCATTCATCAATGTAAAAAGAAAATGTTTGAAAGTCAAGCAGTATAACAAGATAACGAGAGAAGAAAAACCGTTCAGAGCACTGCTGTGTAAGAGAAGGTCAATCATACGCTTCTCTCAAATCTAAGGATTCTCTTCTCATTTACTTTTATTCGAAAGCATTCCAAGCGATTATTTTCTATACAATCTAAGTTTATATCCTGCCGATCCCTAGTTCTGGGCCATTTCACTTCCTGGGAAACACAAAGGTAAGATAACATTGAAAAGGCAGTGTGATACACAAGGAAAACCACTGGATTTGCAGTTAAAAAAAAAAAAAATTGAGTTTGGGTCTTAATCATAAGTTCTTGGATAAGTTATGTATTCTTTCTGATTCTTGTTTTCTTATTTGTACAATTGGGATTTTGTCTGTTTAACTCATCAGTTTTTCCACTTCTTTTAAAATACTCGAGTAGAGTATAGACATTGTGTATAGGAGAATTCATAGGATGCTTTTCCTGAGTAACTTGTGTAATTTCATTTCGAATGATAATGATTGGGACATCAGTGAATCTGTAGATAAATTTTAGGAGAATGGACTCTTCATGATATTCTTCTAATTCATTAACATGGCACCTCTCTTCATTTAGATCTTCTTTGATGTCTCCCAGCAAAGTGTTTGTAGCTTCTTGTATGGAAGTTTTCTGCACCACAGTTAAATTTATTTCTAAGTATCTGATTTTTTTAAATGTTTTATAGGTAGTGTTCTTTTAAATTTTAGTTTCTGCTTTGCTGATATTTAGAAATAGTTGATTTTTGTATTTTGATATTGCATCCAGTGACTTTGCTGACTTCATTTATACTGATGGTTATAGAATTTGGAATATACCTTACATAATGAGTGCATATGAACACTGAAATATATTCAGGAATGTTCACAAAACCCCAAACTGGAAATAACCCAGCCTTTCATCATCGGGCAAGCAGATTGTGACATTCATACAACCAAATACTACATAGCAGTGCAAACAACATGGTTGAATCTCAAACACATGATGTTGAGTGAAAGAAGCCCAAGAACGTACCGTATGATTACATTTATATGAAGTTCAGAGTAGGAATAACCAATCTGTGGTGATAAAGTGAGAATAACTGTTACCATTATGGGAACAGTGAGTGGGAAGGGGGATGAGAGCCTTCTGGGGTGCAGGTAATGCTCTATATCTTGGTGTGACTGGTGGTTCCACAGTGTGTTCACTTTGAAAATTGAGTGCTAGACTTAGGATTTATATACTTTATATGTATTATGTTTTTCAAAAGAAATTGAGCCAAATTCACATTGAATTTTTAAATTTAGATTTTTTTCTGAGCAGTTTTAGGCTTACTGAGCAATGAAGAAGTACAGAGTGCCCGTATATTCCTACATATCCCTTCCTTCCCTGGTTTCCCCTTTTAACTTCCTGCATTTGTGTGGTGCATTTGTTAACACCTGATGAGCCAATGTATCGAAATATTCATGGTTGAAAGCTACCTAATTAAGGAATTGTAGAATTGGTTGGAAAGGAACCTAGAGGTTATTATTTGTCAACTGACAGAAGTTTTACAGTGTCACAAAAACTCGGTGGGACCGAAACTACAGCAGGATCTTGTGTAGACCTTAGTTTGCATTGAGTGTTGACTGCTGTGCGTGTGTGTCCGCATCCCTGTGCACGGATTTCACCTAACAGTTGAGCAAAACTAATTTTTTAAGAAAATAATTCAAGAGACATTAAATAAAACAACAGACATTTTTCTTTGTCTTTCTCCCTTCCTATTTTATGGTTAAGTTCAAAATCAGTTAAACCATTTTAGAAAATGTTGGGTGTGTAAGTGTATTGATGCAGTTTTTAAGAGTTCTTCCCCAGAGAGCTCCTTTCGTCTTACAGATTTTGCTGTTCTCAAGGTAGTAATAGCACTGCTTGAGTGGTTACCAAGTGTCAGGCCCCACTGTAAGGCTTTATGTGGATTAACTCCTTTACTCTTCCCACCAACCCTAGGAGATCGGTCAGTGCCATGTTCGTGACCAAGTGATGTCACCTCTGTCTTCCCATCATCACAGTATTGTCCCCTGGTTTTATTTTCATGAAACCATCCCCAGAGCAACCATCAGGAACATCGTCATGTCTTCGATGCAAGCAAGGAAGGAACTGTCCTGTGAGAACTCAGGGATGGTTCTGTTCGTTAAAGGAAAGGAAGCTGTTGTTAGATGTGGCTTCTAGATATAGTTAGGTGCTCAGAAATGTTGCTGATTGGCAGAACAGGAGACGTGTCAAGAATTAGAATTTTCTAGTACTTGATGCTGTCTGGAACCCACATTTCATTTCTCTCTGTATATTACCTTTCAGACCCTACTTGGTCTAGAATGTAAGGTACATGCCCTCAGTTGGGTAGCAGTAAAAGTTTTCGCTCTCGTCCCTGTCCTCTTCCTTTCTAGTTCCCTCCCCAGGACAGCTTCAGCACAGAATGCACAGCGTGGGGCATTTCCCAGTGTCCGTGCGGCAGCCTCTGAAAGCCACGGCCTACGTGAGTCCCACTGTGCAGGGCAGCGGCGGCAGCATGCCTTTGTCCAACGGCCTCCAGCCATATTCCAGCACGGGCATCCCCACACCAAACAAAGCGGCCGCTGCGTCGGGGACAATGGGCCGCAGTGCGCTTCCCAGACCTTCACTGGCAATAAATGGGAGTAACCTGCCTCGAAGCAAAATTGCACAGCCTGTTAGAAGGTAGGAACCTCTGTTCGCTCCACCACCTCTTCTGCAGCTTGAAATTGGAAACTGCTAGGGAACCAGCCTCCCTTTTGGCGTCTCTGGCACGCTGCCCTTCATGGCCTGACCTCAGACCTCCTCCTTCTGGAAAGTGCTGGGGCGGGGGTGTCCCTTCCTCCCTCCTCACTTCACTCCCGATTCACCGCAGTTTGCTTTAATTTACCAGGTAAGCTCCGTCTCCAGAGCTTTTGTGTGTTTTCCTTCCCCCAGGTTTTTCCCTCCAGGACTTTGCTCAGATGACCCCTCTGTGCACAAGTGCAACTCCAGGGGCAGTTGTAGCTCCTTTTTCACCCCCCCCACCCCCCCACCCCCCCAGCACTGATCGCCGCCTGAGGGAGTAGAGAGTCTGCTCCCTTACTAGTTTATGGTCTGACTGTCCTCTCTAGAATGGGAGCTTCATGGGGACGGAGGAAGGGAGTGTTCATGGATATAAAACCCCGAGGGTAAGGACTAGGCCTCGCACAGGATCAATTGTAAATATTTGTCAAAGCAATAATTTTATCAAAATAAGCAAACCCGTTGGGCAGCTGTATGCATGCACACCTGCTCACAGTCTTACGGAGCTGGGCCTTTGTTAGCTTGTGTTGGTAAGTTTAGTAAGGGTCCCGCTGGAATTTTTTTTGTTTAAAACTTCAGATTAGTTGCAAGGCACATATGAGACGAGTTCGTGGTCATGATGTACCCTTCTTGAACTGGAGATCTTGAAGTGTTCTAGATCAGTAAGAATTCCATAGCAGTGGCTCCAGGATAGTTTGGGAAGAGGAGACAGCGGAGGCAGTAACCACAGACCACTCCCGACAAGGAACTAGGCTTTGGAGGAGGAGGAGGAGGGGGGGGATGGACCACTGTGACGGTGTGGAAGGGGATGATGCGCGAGCAAGCAGTTCTTCCTTCTTTGTGTGTTAATACGTGTAAATATTTTCCAATTAGAAGTAATAATGCTCAGGTAAAAAATTCAGAAACTGTTAAACACATAAAAGAAACAAATGAGTGACCTCCTAGTCCTGTTACCCAGATAGGAAGCATTTTGTTGCATGTTTAATAAATTCTGGCTTATTCTCCCCCTGTAAATACGGCTGTGTGTTATATTCATGGCAAATAGAATCCCAGTATTTGATGGATGTAGGCTATTGTGACCCCTCCATTTGTCCTTGAATAGGTCTCCAAACTAATCTTCTCTAAAGGGAGGACGTTTCCCCAAACGTAGGCAAACGCTGGGTATTATTCTTTGCCAGTATCATAGGCACATCTTTATTATTTGTAAGGTTGCAGATTTCTTCATGTGAATTTGCTGTTTGCATTCAAGGAAGTACCCGTTCGTTTTTAGACAAGAGTTCATCTTTCCCTTTCTGGTTTTAAAATACCCTTTGTCCGTGAAGGAGATGTTGCAGTACACGCGCCCCCATCCGCCCACCCACGCACGGCGCTGTGCTGAGAATGGCCTTTCCAGCCGGTGAGCGCGTGGCACCCAGGCACGCTCAGGAAAGTGCTGGTAGCGGTCGGCGCCCGCGCTGCGCGGAGGAGAGCAGACGGGAGTAAGGGCCGGGACCCCTGCGAGGGTACTAACCGTCTCTTTCCGTGCCCTCAGTTTCCTTCAGCCTCCAAAGCCTCTGTCTTCGCTCAGCGCTCTGAGGGACGGAAGCTGGAGAGACGGTTGCTACTGATGCGTTTCCACGGGAAAGGAGCGGAAATGAGGGTCGAGTTACCTAGCTGGCTAGGTAACCGTGAACGTCGGGATATTCTTTCCCTTCTGCGTTTTAACATATTTACTGCATTGTTTTTCAACGGACCAAGCGCCAGAGACTAATGATTGCACTTAAATATTTGCCTGAGAGAATACCGCACCAGTCTCAGATCCGTGGTTGCGGTATTGTGACATTTAGATCTAGGGGGTTTTTGTAGAACTGCTATGTACCTGGACGCTTTTTGAGAGGATTGAGATGTATCAATAATGCTTTCTTTGCCATGAGTTTTTTAAAGTAACTGGTTCAATTTACTTACGTGTTCTAAACATCTTCCCGTTACATGTTCTGTATTTTAATACATTGCATATTTACAACTAGGTTCTATAATTTATGCTTTGAAGTTTACTTTTTTATAGTTTACAGGAATTTTATTTTTTGTGCCTATTTCTTTTTACACCTCTGTGAACCACTATGGAACAACTTAAATTTTGTGCCATAAAAATATTTTTGTGGTAAGGTACTATTTTTTTAGCTCTAGGGATCTATCAGCAAAAATCCACCATACAATTTGAAAGGCCTAATTTTATGTTGACTGAGCACAACATAAGCTGAAGCATTGCAAGGAGGTAGCCAGACAGCAGTTAGATGGTCTTGTCTTTTTCATTGTTAATTTATTGTCATACATGGGTTTCCGACTTACAAAGGCATCACAGGCTCATTGCACTTAATACCTGCAATGTTTGCTTCTGTACCACAATTGGTTTTCAGTACTTTATTACAGAGGATGAGAAACTGTAATGTTTTGTTAACAATGCTTCTGGAAATGGATGCATTTTAAAGCAAATAAATCTTTTTGATAGACCTTTTACAAAACCCATTTGCACTAATGAATGCTTTCTTATGGTATAGGACTTAATATCTGTTACTGTGTACACTGCTCTTTTGGAATGTTCAGAAATAAAGACTATTTCAGCAATACCAGGTCACGCATGAATGTGCAGCATGAGCAGTATAAACACCATTTCTGTGTTTCACTATCATTGTGAAAGCAGGATACTCACGTTTGTGAAAACTATTTCTCTAGAATACTCCTGATATGAATGGGAGGTTCTGGTTTTGCAGTGAGGTTTAGGTCCCATTTAGCAAGGCCATCAAAACTCAGGTAGCCTCTTGCCCAGAAGTACTTACGGATGAACACTCTCCATGATTAACAGTTCATGGGGGTCGAATTTGAAGTATTGTTGCAATATCAGCAAAATATTATTCTCCATTATGTCTGATACAGGTTGAAAAAACTTTTCACCTGAAGGTACTATGGAAAAGTTAGGCAAAGGCTTTAATGTTAAATATTAAAATAGAAACATATATAATTCCATCTAGAATGGCTTTTAGTTAACTTGCTGTGTAAATGAAATGTGAGCTGGAGGAGGTGTGAGATACCAAAGGGGAAGTAATATTTTTTGAGCACTTCTTTAGTGAGGAGAACTGTCCTGGAGATTTCAGGTACATTTGTCTATTCTAACCATTTACATAATAAAGATACTGAGTCCAAGGTAGCAGGTTAACCTTATATAAACATTTAGCTAGTACTGAAGCTGATCTAGGAATCCAGGTTTAGCCGATCTCAGAAATCTGTTTTCCCCACTGCTGTGCTCTTTTCCTATGAGCACATGTAGTTGTAGTTAGTACATTTTTTTTAAAGTGGGTTTCTATTCTAAGGAAATTAAAGGATTAAATTCATTTTCAATTTAAATATTTCTATTCAAAAAAAGTCTGTTCAGCTCTTGGGATGATAAAGAGCTCTGTGCCTTGGATTTCACATTCTAGTTGGTGGGAGACACAGTAAACGAACAAGTGAGTGAATCACGGTATAGATCCCTACTGCTCAGGGAGGGGACAAAAGGTGCTCAAAGTAAGGGCGAGGGGCTCAAAGCAAGAGAAAAATCGAGACCAGGAGAGATCACACTTTTAAGTCACCTGGCTAGATCTCATTAAGGACTTGACCCTTGCAGACTTGGGAGATGGAGAGTTAGTCCTAAAGTTACTTCATAGACTCTTGCCCCTGGAGTTCTCCAGAACACCAGCAGCTTCGGCATCTCGTGGGAATTTACTAGAAATGCAGATTTTAAGCCCCACCCCCCAGACTTAGTGGGTGATTTGAAGAACCTCCTCCCAACCGTCCCTGCAAAGGCTCAGAACAGAGCAGGCCTGGCGTGCTGGAGGAAGAGCAGAAAGGCCAGTGCGGCTGCAAGCAGACGGGACAAGGAGGACAGAAGTAGAGAGGTAAGGGCGCTGTGGGCCACGGTGTGGAGTTTGTTACTCGGCAAGGGGAGCCGGGCACCGTTCTGAGAGGCGGAGCTCATGATTTGACTTAGGTTTAAATAGATCACCCTGGCATTTGGGGGAGAATAGACTAGAAGATGGCAAATGTAGATTAAACTATTTCAGTAATCCAAGCAAGAGAGGAGGAATTGGACCAGAAGGATTTCAGTGTGGATAGTCAAAGTGGCCAGCTTTGGGGTATATTCTGAAAGTAGAGCTGTCAGGATTTCTTTATGGACTGGATCTACTATGTTCAAAAAGGAAAACAAGCCCTTTGGGATAGCAAGTAGAAGGACAGAATTCCGCGGGTAGAGATGGGGAGGGCCATGACTGGCTGAGATCACCAAAGGGAGCCTAGATGGAGAAGAGGACTAAGGACTGGGAGCTGGGCACGTGTGCCTTCGAGCTTACGTGAGTTCCTCGTCCCGGTAACTGGGCCTCATGCAGGGAAAGACAGCCCGAGAGCTTCGTTTTCGCACATGGAAGGGAGCGATGGTGGTGGGTTAACGCAGATTCGAGCAGGACTTCTCTTTGGATTAGCTGTCCCAGTGTAACCAACTACCACAAAACTTGGCGGCCTCACCCAACATCTCACAGTTGCCATGGGGCTGGAATCTGGCCACAGCCTAGCCAAGTCCTCTGGCCTAGGGCCCCTCCCCAGGTTGTGGTCATGGGGAGATTGGCCTGGGAAAGAACGCGCTTCCATGCTTACTCACAGGGCTGTTGGCAGGATTCATTTCCTTGTGTGCCATCCCCCGTTTCTTACACACGGACCTCTCCTGGGGCAGCTTCCTGCACAGTGGCTGGCTTCATCAGGATGAACGAGTGAGAAGTGCGAGAGAGTGAACCAGAAATATGGAATTTAGTCTCTTGTAACTTAATCTTGGAAGCAATATCCCATCGCTTGGCCATATTCTATTTGTTGGAAGCCAGTCACCAGGTCCAGCCCTCATTCAGGGTGAGGGGATGACCCGAGAATGTGAATACCTGGAGACAAGGATCTTACAAGCTGCCTGCCAGACACTGCCTCCAAAACCTCGCCAGCAGCTGTACTGGGTGATGCCCATCGAGTTTCCAAAATGATTAACACTATCTGTATGCCAGCAGTGTGAAAATTCCTGTTACTCTACACCCTCAGTATTGTTTATAGTAACTTTGTGGGCGTGCAGTACTGTATCGTGGTTTCAATTTGCATTTCCTTTTTCGCTAGTTGGGATCGTATACCTTTTCATTGGTTAGACGGAACATCAGCTTATCTTCTGTGGATTCCTTTTCAGGTCTTTTGCCCATTTTTCTGTTGGGGTTTTCTGACCGGTTTGTAGTAGCTCTTTATAAAGCCTGCTCTGAGCCTTTTGTCAGTTAGATGTGTCACGTCTTCATGCTGTGTAGCTTACCTTTTAATTCTCTTTATGGTGTATTTTGATAGACTTACTAACTTTAATATGGTACCATTTACTCCCTTTTTAAGATTAGCCATTTTGTGTCTTAAAGAGTATTTTCCTACCCTAAAATCATGAGTTTATTCTGTATTCTCAAGGCTTTATTATTTTGCTTTCCACCTATATTTTTTATTATCCATGTAGTTCTAACACTGAAAACTCCATCCTTACCCCAGTTTTTCTGTCATAAAGCAAATGCCTTTGTGTCTGTGTCTATTTCAACTGTCTTATTCTTGCAGAATTCCAGAACTGTACTGTTCTGAACACTGTAGCATTATAATTAGTTTTGCCAAACAGCAAAGCAATCTTGTTGTCCTGTTTTCCCTTAGGAGTGTCTTGGTTATTCCTGTCACTTTAGCTTGTTCAAAAATACAGACTTGCAGTCAGTGACATTCCAGAAAAACATCCTGTTGGAATTGCATAGAACTTAATCAATTTGGGGGAAATTGATTCTTTATAATATTGAATCTTATAATCCATGAGCATGGTCTATGTCTTTTATTGACTGAGGTATTCTTTAATCTCTCAATTGTGCCAAGTTCTCCATGGAGTGCTTATATATTCTTTGCCAGATTAATTTCTGGATATTTGGAATTTTTATGCTATTGTAAGGGATATTTTTAAAAATTTCATCCCAGCATTTTGTTCTGAATGTTTTATTCAACAACCGTAAGTTTATGTCAGTTATATTTATTATTTGTTACTTACACAGTCAAATGTATAAGAGTGAGCTTTATTTCTTCCTTTTCTGTCCTCCTGACTTTTCTTTTTCTTGACTATGGTCTTCAATGCAATATTAAATACAAATGATAATATTTTTCTTTTTGCTAATTTCAAGAGGAAAGCTTTTTTTTTTACCGTTAACTTTCAACTTTGCTAAGAGCATTTTTAATTGCAAAAGTGAATTTTAATAACCTTTTTCTGCATCTAGAATATCTCTTTTTTAGTCTTAATATGCCAAATTTATGAGAGATTTTAAAATTGAATCAACCACGGATTAAAGATAAATCCAAGTTGGTCTGGACCTTTATTTCATTTTAAAGATAGATGGATTTGATTTACTAATGTTTAGGATTTTTGAATAAAAATGACCTCTAATTTTTCTTTCTTAAGCTATCTCTGTCAGGTTTTGGAATTAAGATAGTTTTAGACTCATAAGACAAGTTGGGAGGTTCTTTCAGTTCTAGCTGGATAAATTCGTATAATATTGGAATTATTTCTACTTTAAAAACAGGTGATAAATCTCAGTTGTGAAGCCACTGAAGCCTGGAATCCAGGTCATGTTTTAAAAATCTGGTGTTGTATCTACTTACTGTACTTGCACAAGCATTAGGAGAAAACCTACCTTAGTGGTGGACATCTACATACTCCTCCTCATGGTTCTGTCAAATTTTGCTTCATGTCTTTTGAGGACATAGGATTTGGTGTATACACATGTAGATATGTTTTATCTTCCTCGCAGATTGAACATGTTACTGGAACTATTTTTTTTTTTTTAATGTCTAGGAATCTATTTTTCTCAGATTAGGTAGCTACATCAGATTTCTTTTAGTGTTTGTAGCATGTATATTTCTTAAACCTTCACTGTCAAACTTTTATCATTGTTATGTTAAAACAACATATAGTTCAATTCTTAACCAAGTATGAAAATCTTTGCCATTCAGCTTGAGCATTTAAGCCAGTAGTATATAAAATGACTGACATATTTAAATATACATTTATGAACTGTTTGTTACATCTGTTAGTTCTCTCTCCTGTTGGTTTGAAAATTATACCCTAATGCTCTTTTGCTGTTAGTGGCTACCCAAGGAATTGCAGTTTTCATCCTTCACCTATCAAAGAATATTAATCTTAACTTTTACCATCCTCCTAGGCAACACAAGGACATCCTTGCATCTAATCTAGTATCATACTAGACATTAGCCTCCTGACACAGCTAATCTCTGTACACGCAATTTAAGCTCAGCCAGGGATTGGGGGAGAAAAATCATGTAGATTTTGGGGCTCTCTGAAATTCAGAGAAAAAAGAGTTAGCCGTGTAAACAATGCAATATTGTATGATTAAAAAGTACTTAGAGAAAGGTACACAGACTAATGATGGGACCAAGGGAACGATCAGCAGGTGAAGTCAGAAGTTTCCCAGGTAGTGTAATTATTTTATCTTAAATCAGGCCCTTACTTCACTTGCCCAACAAATATTTACTGACAGCCTAGTAT